TATATATATATTAAAAGTCACCGTCACTATCACGGCGTGCTGTTACGTGTTCATGAGACCTTGGCGGACTGACCGTCGCACTGGTGCACGGTGCGACGCGACGATCGCTTGGCCGATCTGCCACGCGGCCGGCACGATCCATTCGATATGCAACGCGCGCGATCACGCGATCACGAGGGTCGCGTGTCGTGACCCGGACGCGGAAGAAGCGCGCGTGCTTGCTCTCAGGGCGACAGCCCGCAACCAACTGTGGCTCCTTTGCCCGCCACCTTGTAGTTCCGCCACCCTCCGCAACCTCGAGCAGGGGCAGCCTGGCGCTTCTGCACGCGCTTGGAGCACACAGGATTACGAGACGCGACGTTCTTCTCTCTCGTTTCCACGACCATGGAAATCGTAATCGCTGTCTTTCTTCCTCCCCTCCCCCCCCCCCCCCCCCCCCCCCCCCTCCCCCCCTCTCTCTCTCTCTCTCTCTCTCTCTCTTTCTCTCTTTTCGCCCGGCAGGTGCCCGCACCTGCTCATGACCGCGACCGGGAGAGCAGGTCACTTTACCCTCGCAATCTTGTCCCCGCCCAGCTTGTCGGGATAATCTCGCTTGGGAAGATTAATAATCTTTCACTAAAATACAATCGTGTCCAGACGGATGAAATATGAATTTCGAAAAGTTTAAAAGATAATCAAACATAGTTGCTGCAAAATTTGCTGCATTTTTCGATTAATTGTTAAAGAAAAAGAATATACAGTTGGGAAAAAATAGCTACCTGTCTTTATATCGTTTTTCTCATCATTGCGTATGCGTATGTGTAGATCGATAAATTTTGATAAATTAGTATTGTTCATATTGCGGTTGAATTAAGGAATAGTAAAGGCTGTAAAAGCTTTTAACTGTAATCTCAATGAAGGTCCTGTTATTTACGAAAGGATTTGAATCCTTAAATTCTGAAAATGGAAATGATGCTAAATAAAATGGATTAAAAAGTAACAATATTAATTAAAAATACGAATTAAAAGAAAAAGACAACACAGTCTGGTTAAATATTAATACAGATTCTCATCAGGAAATGCTGAATTGTTGGAAGCATTACAGTTCTACAGAAAATTTAACGACTGTGTGCCGACTCGTAATACTAGCTACTTCCATTATTCCATGTTCGCACACGGCGCTTTCATTCTGCTCTTATTTGAATTTCCGCTCGCACTTGCGTCTCTCTATTCTTCCTCCCTCTCTATCTCGTTTAACACATTCCCTTATAAATGCCCATTTGTTGAACAACGAATTCAGGGAGAAACATGAAGATAAATGCGAACAGTGTGCATCGGCGCGTGAATGATTTCTGCGTCAATTGGCACAGAATCTTGAGCGGATATTTCGAAAGAAAATTGTTTAAACGAGAGGAAACTTCAATTTCAAGCTACGTCAGGGAAGAGCAAACAAGAAAATGATCGAAAAAGATGTTAATAACTATGATCATTCAAATAAATTGTTTCAAATTCGCACAAAGTAAGAGTGTTTTTCGTCACTCCTGAAATAAACATCGATCGCAGAGATTGTCCTCTCAAAGGAAAGTCACAGTTGTAATAAGAAAGATACCCGAAACTTGAAATTAGCTTTAAAAGTAATTTTGCAGGCAATCCGAGATCCCACACTGCTGTGTATAATTTAGTGCAGACCGAAGACTAGCATAATTATATTTAACTTATTTAATTGTTGTACTAAATTGCAATCTACCAAAGGGAATTAGTTTGAAGGCGCTACTCAAATTATCTCGCTTTTAATAAAAAAAATATTATAATTTCTGTTTGATTTTTCCCCAATCGTCCTTCGAAATTAAGAAAAATATATATAAAAAGTGTATGTACATAATTCTTTTTTTATTTAAATTATTTATGTAGTACACACATTTATGTATAATATAATGAGCACATAGTAACGTAAATCATTTGAAAAGCGGAATAATCATACTTCATATATTTATTACACTTTTTAAATTAATACATGACTTTATGTATTAATATCACGTTCCATATATTTAATATTTATTAATTCATATTTCAATTTATATATATAGAAAGTACAGAACAGCATTATTTATAAATAAATTCCCTTCTGTTAAAAATGTTTAACTGATTTTCCATCGTATTAATACATACAAACGTAAACGTAAAATTTTCAATTTAATAAACAAATTCCTTTTTACAGAAAAAGAAGAAAAAGTGTACGAGAAGGATAAAGTTAAATACAACTGCAATATAATTGCAATCTATATGTCGAAAATTGATGTTTATCAGAATACGAAATAAGAATCAGCTCTTTTCATACCTGGACATAAACGGAACCTACTGATTCGCGCGATAACGCTGTGTTTGTGGAATACAACGTCCGTGAATGCACGCATCATCCGAACAATAATTCGCTTGTTCGATTGATTTCGACGCCCCACTTCGTCCGACACATGACGTCGCTACTGTGTACTCACGTCCGGTAGCGGGATATGTTTGCGCGCAAACCTGCAGTTAACTGCACAAACATTTCAGCCGCAACATAGCCCGATCGACAATAGCGGCCCGCGATAGTCACCCTTCTTGCATTAATAATATTAATATTCGGCAGAAAATGTTACTGAAGCAGTATATTTAAAATTAAAAAATAAAAAAAAACGACTAAAGAAGATCTTATAAATTTTTTTAGCCCTTCTTATTAACCCTCTATTTAAAAAATCAAATCAATTTGCTATCGCCTAATAATTGTTTCATCGAAATTATTCTTTATTAAATAAAATTAAATTTTGTACGCGTGAGGGAAAGAAGGTGCGCTTGCAAACGAGAATCTTAAACAAGAATATTCAAATTACGAATCGACAAACACATATATTCAATTCGCGTACGATTCGATAACTAAAGTATGTATACAGTTATTCGTACCATCAGTTTTGACTTCGCGTAAACTCTTTTCAATCAAATATTGATCATTTAATACAATAATAATTTGCGGATATATACTTTTGATATACAAGTATAAATATTTCTGCTAAAAATTATACATACGCGTTTGACCGCGAATGAGAATTAAGAATTGAATTTTTAATATCGCAAGAAGATGAAAACTTTTTTCATTTAACTTGTATTTATTTACTTTTGATGAGCAATCTGAGGCTTTTATAGCTCGAGAAATAGCCAGGCTTTTATAACATTTAACGTTCCACGTTGACGCAACGTTCAACAACAAGAATAGATAGTCTCTCGAAGTGACTAAATTTCGTTGCGCACGTTTGAGATCCGTGGGAAAATAGATCCCACGTTCCACCACTATCATGATACGTCGAATGCAAAGTTGTATGTAAACAAATGCATTTTTGGCATGCCATACGTTCCGATGGAACGTTCTGCATTTGTTTACGCACAACTTGCTCTAAATTTGCGTAAAGTGTATAGGATTCGATGGAATGTAGTGCTGAAACTCGCCTGCTATTTGAGCAATTCGCTCGCTGTTACGAACAATGTTTGCGGCGCTCTCCTAATATCACTATAAGCTTACGAGCTCAAGCAAGTAATGCTTGTCTAATAAATGGCACCTGATGAAAGGATTGTAGCAACCTTTTGGTAACTATGGCAACGAGCCTGTGTGCCAATCAATAGGAAAAGAGGATTACATTAGCCTCGTCTTTCGGCTACTACTAGTCTCCTTTCCCCGATAGTTTCTTGTTAGGTATTGAACTTCAAAAGATCGCTGGGAGTCAGACTCGGTCGGAAGTGACCATCCGCAACATCGAACTGGCAGTCTAAGATCTTTCTGTGAAAAATGGTAGAAGTGTCAAAATATAAAAATTATGGATATTAATAACACTATAGAATATTTTAACAAGAGCTATTTTTCAATATAGGTAATCATGTTTTTTTCAACACACTTGGTGGAAAAATTATATATAGACAAACTGTTTTGAGAGAATTTATTATAACAAGAGCAATTCATTTATTATTTATATGATAAATGATATGGTTGTAACGAAGATTCTTCGGAGGTAATTTCAGTATAAACATTCAAGTCACGATCGTACGAGGATATAGGAATAAACCTATATGCGGACGTGCCAGATGTAAGCTCTCAATTGAAGATCATGTTATATCAAAGGATAAAATATAGAACAATTTTAGAACATTCTGGAAAAAGTATCTTAATACCGCGTAGCATGATTTTTTATGAAAAACAACAAAAATATTTTACATTTAATAAAATTATTGCATGCAAATATAATAGATATGATATGCGTAATTTCGGATTTATTTCATAATTCACTTTACACAGCTTTAGATTCTTCTAGGAAAAGTGTACAAATTATAAATATACACGTCTTAAAAATCTTAAATATATTTAATAACACATAAAAAAAATTCTAAATAGTTTTAATTATAATTATAAAATTTAGAAAATGTCAACATATAATACATTTTCAAGTCTAAATTTCTTAAATTAATTAGAGAGAGAGAGAAAGAGAAAGAGTTTATTACTTAAGAGAATATTACTTTTATTCAATTAAAAAAGAAGAAGAGAAAAAAGGATATTTCCGTCTTCCTATACATGTACAAGAAATTGTTCATGGTACATTGTGAAAGCAGAATATTCTTATATCATTTAAAAGAATCTTCAGTGATCGTTTTCAACATATATAGAATCAAATATGTTCGTATCTCATCGTTTAATTTTAGAATTTATCGCTATTAACGATTATGAGTTTCAACTTAATGGAAATAAATCTCAACTAACTCCAAAGTAACTTCCTTATGCGAACTTGCACTGTCGTCATTAATGTCACAATATTTCGAACAAACTGAGCCTGACATTATCAAATGTGTCCTACTCAGAGAGAACGCAGGCGAACCTTATCGAGGCAAAGTTTCCAGTCCCATGCCCTCGAAAAAGAGTTCCGGCCTTAATCGCGACAAGTTCGCTTAGTCGTATGCATTTCTACAAAGTTGCCTCGACTTCTGTACACTTCTGTCACACGCTTTTCCACCCTGACGACACCCACGTCTGGCCGCGATCTCTTGTAAATCCGTTGAACCCCGTCGCTTTATCTTTTCGAACAGATAAGTAAGCCGGTGTGGAAAATGTCAGAACACGAAACAGCAAAAAATCGAGAATGAATCGAACGAGAATAGAGATTTTTTTTCTTTAAACAATTTTTATTTCCTAGAATCTCTTATTATTGGTTTCGGCAAGCTTAACTATAT